GCACACAGGCGCTTAGGAAATGCAAGTTTACTGACTGACTCTATAGCAGGTGGACATGGGCAATGCCAACACACTGTGACATTCTGAACTTTGACCTCATCAAAGACTCTTCCTCCGATGATCCAGCCCAGTTTGATGCCATCTTTCATCTGTCCAGTGCGGTCTTCCTTCCATTCTGCTCTCTGGGTCATTCAATAAGGATTCTTTAAAAGGTTTTTTTTTCCCCCTCTAGGGCTTCTTGATGCTTTAGGAGGCAATGGTACCCCAATCACTGTGTCTTCTGAGCCTCTATCACAATACAAGGTTAAGACTGGTGTTGGAGGGAAAATGGGCTTGAGAAATTCGGTGTTAAGTGGTATAAAAACAGGTACCACGCTAAGTGCTCTACAAATATTATTTCATTTGATCCTTTGAATAACTCTGGAAGGCAGGTGTTAGTACTATCCCCATTTTTATAGTTGAGGAAACAGATAGGCAGAGGCAAAGTGACATAGCTAAGTGTCTGAGGCAGGATCTGAGTTCGGGTCTTCCTGACTTTAGGCCTACCACACTATCCATTGCATCACCTAACTCATCCCCTCAAAAACAAGATGGTATCCTACTTTGACCACACATCTAAGTGACATGGCACAGTCATGGCCTCCTGGAACTTCCAATGTGAAGGCAAGCATGCTCCTTTTTCTGGATTTACTTGGTTTTACTATCTCTGACTAATCTTTAGTGAAGAGATCTCTCTGATGACATCAAAATAAATGGTTTGTAGAAGGCATTCCTGAAAATGAAAGTGATCACTCATAAACAATTCTATTTAGGAAGTCAATTCATTCATCAAACTGGAGAGATATCTTCTAGGTACTTCATCCTAGAGGGTCTATGAGGACACAAACATCCTGACAATATTGTCAACTTAAAGTAGTTTCTGGCTGGTCATATGACAGCCTCAGCAAAACCTTCTCTAAGGAAACTCTTAGCAACATCTATTTACAACGAAGGCATCTGTCTTGGCACAAATAAAGGCCAGGCGGCAGAGCCAAGATGGCAGAGTGAAAGTAGTGACTTGCTTGATCTCTCCCCCAAACCCCTCCAAATACCTGTAAAAAACGGCTCTAAACAAATTCTAGAGCAGCAGAACCCACAAAAAGATAGAGTGAAACAAATCTCTAGCCCAAGATAACCTGGATAGTCGATCAGAAAGGTCTATCATGCCAGACTGGGAGAGAAACACAGTTCAGCATGGGCGTGCAGGCAAAATAGGCCTCAGAGGACAGAATCATGGCAGTTTCCAGACTTCTCAACCCACAAACACCAAAGACAACTTAGAAGGTCAGTAGGAAAGGTCTGTCCTGTGGTGAGAGAGGAGCTCAGTCCCAGCCCCAATCCTGGCACAACCCCAGGGTGGTGGCTGCTTCTGGAGCTTTTGGCTCACAGACTGAGGGGGAATCGAGTGGCTGATCAGAGGGGGATTGCAGGGACCTCTGCTGGTGCTGAGGCAGGATTCTCTTGCTTTTCCCGTGCTTGGATCTGGGTCACAGTTCTGGGTGGTGGTCCTGGGGAGAGGAAGAGCACTAGCGTGGGGGAGCTGGTGGTGGCTGTGGAGAGGGAATCCTCCTCACAGTCCCAAGGCAGAGAAAAGTGCTTGTGGTCACTCATAGAACGGAGCCCAGGCCAGGAATGGATTAAATGCCTCACCCTTGATTATACCACCTTGGAAGAACTGAAAACTTACAGGTCCCTAGAAGTATCTCTGAAAACAGCTGCACAAAATCCCCGAAGCTTGGGACAGTACACTCTCCACACTGGAAGCAGAGACCTACCTTAACAAAAAGCTTAAAACACAAATAAAGGCCAGTCCTGCACCTAGCATAAAAGACAATTTGGGGGTCAAGACTGCGATGTAAAGAAAACTATCACTTCCCACAATAAAGAATGTCAGCATTTGGTGAAGACTGGCTAAAATGTCTATTTCAAGAGAAGGATGCAGGGTGACAGATGTCCTGCTCAATATGTCATTACCCATTCTTCCACATTTTCCAAGTTCTATCCCTATATTGAAAGAATGGAAAAACACCTGGAATATATTCTCTTGGCCTGTCCAGACATCTCCCCCTCAAAAAAACCCCCTCATTTTATACAAGTTTAGAACTGGAAGGGATCTGCAACTCTCTCATTTAACAGATGAGGTAAAACATACCAAGGTAAAACTGGCAGCTCAACAGCACACCAGAAGATTGCTAGACTGGAGTCAGGACACCTGAATGCGAATCCTGCAGCTGACACACTTACTAGCTGTGTGACCCTGGGTAACTCACAGGACTAATAAACAAGCGCACTTGCCTCACAGCTGCTGTGAGAACTGCATAATATAATGCACGCAAAGCACTCTGCAAACTGTAAAGTGCTACATCAGCTATTGTCATTATTACAGTAAGTCTGGGAGAAGTAGAACTAATCTGCTCACTCAGTTTAGTGATCCCTAGCTCCCATTTCTATGCTTTGACCAAAGGTTTCCAGGACAGCCCAGAAGAGTCTGCATTAAATGGAAACCACTAAATTCTACCCCAAATTATATCCCTTGCAGTGTCCTCCCCCCAGATTAGAGATCGGCCACTTGCTGTTTACGGAGTTCCTGCTTAATTGTATGTTCTTGGGTTTCATAGAACCATGAGACAAAAACCATCTTTTCAAGCAGCCTGGGGGCCTTTTTTTTGCAAAAGCTGCACCCCCCCCTCCCTCCAATCTAGCCTTGTGATTTCATCTATGCTCAAAACTCTAAGCAAGATGACTCCTTTCACAGCTGCAGACCACAGCAACTCACTCACAATTTAAGAGTTTCAGAGAGTGGCCTGAGGCACTGAAAAGCTGTTACTGGCCCAAGGTCACATAGCCAGGACCTAGTTAGGTCTTCCTCAACCCAGGCCCAGGCTTTTGGTGTCCCACAAGAGCTTTCAGGGGATATAAGAACATGGATATTATTTCACTATAACTGATTTCTTTTGTAATCCTATGTATTTTCCTTCTTCCTTCCAGAGAAGGGCGTGAGAAGAGTGCCCAACAGGCCCATGACACAAGAAGGCGAAGAGTCCCTGGACTCCACCAAGCTGCCAGCTATATCCTCCATGAAGATTACTTCCCATATGCTACATTCTTTATATGCTTTATACAAGGACCCCCACAACAAAGTCTTCCTATGTTTGGTTCCAGGAAAGAGTAATGTTGGTGATAATTTTATAGTTTTCCCCTTTGCTTTAGTTTTCAAGGTAATGGGCTGAGCCAGTATTAGCCAACAGCACTCAGAGTGCCCTCCAAGGCCTGCTAAAAACTCCTACCAGGCCACTGTTCTGCGTCTAGTCTCCACTGTCCTCTTTTACAGGCGTTTTCATTGTGTAGGCTGCGTCCCAGCCTTTCGGAAGCAGCAAGTTTAGTTCCACTACAGTGAAAGGAAATCAATAAACCCAAGGTAAGTTTTCTTGAATGATGATCTTCACAGAAGAGCAGCTCTGGAGGGGGAGGAGGAGGAGGAGAGCAGAGGGTGGAGAAAACGGGGAGGAGGAGGAAGGAGCAGAGGAGAATCCAAAAGGGGTACTTTTCTTGTGAAATGTTTTATTGGATTATTCTGCCAGAACCTGTGGGGAAGAATATTCTGTCATCACGTGTTGTTTGAGGAATTTTTCTAATTGCAAACCTGGATTCTAATAAACCAGTAGCTAGGGGGCTAGGAGAAGGGTGGAGGTAGTGCAGGGACTTTTAAATGAAGCAGACCTGCTTCAGAAAAAGAAAGCTGACTACCCTGGAAGCCTAGCTGGCATCAGCCATCAGGGACAGATACTCCAGGACTGACGAAGGTCAGGAGCAGGACCAAAGCTCTGGCTTCATGAAGGGGGCAGGTTGTGCTTCTTAGCCCAGAGCCATTCAGCCTCAGTCTCTAGAGAAGGCGTCTTTATGTCAACGGTAACAGGCAGAGGAGGCAACATCAGCAAGAATTCCAGTGTCCAAGGGCGAGTTTCCAGGGACAGAACACAAGATCTCCTCAGGAAATAAAAGCAACAGCCAGATTTATCTAACAAACATTATCTCACCTGACGATACTTATAACAACCCTGGAGAAAACTGAGAGAGGAAGTGATCTGCCCAGGGTCACACAGCTAGTAAGTGATAGAGGCTCCCTGATTCCAGGGCTGGCACTCTATCCACTGTGCCACCCTATTGCATCTATATCTGTATCTCTAAATGATATCTGACCGCAGGCAGAAGATCTGAGTTCAGATCCCACCTCAGACAATGGGCAAGTCATTCTGCCTCTCTCAACCTCAGTTTCTCTATCTATAAAATAGGGAGATAACAGCACCTGCCTAATAGGATCATTGTAAGGTTCAAAAGAGATGACATAGGTATTACAGCACTGTATAAATGCTAGTTCTAAATTACCTACAGTTGAGATCTGTGTGGGAGGATGGAGTTCCCTAGGGGAAGGGGGAGGTGGCAATGTACCATGCTCATTTTATTTACATTTTTTTTTTTTACATTGTAGAGGATAAAGAAATGCTCCAGAAAGGAGGCTTCTTCCCCAGGGCCCAAAATAATACATAATAATCTAGCTGAGTTCACCTAGTTGTAGAAGCCTAAAAAATATTTCCTCAAAGACTAAGTGACTGGAAAATGAGCTAGGCAACCTGGACCTGAAACCCAAGGGGAAACAGAGTCAAGGCCACGACTGTAGGAGGTGGGGGGAAGGGATGTGCATGGACAACTGGAGACGGAGCAACCTGCCGCAGGCTGGTGCGGCCACACTCAGATCTACTGTTGGGGAAGCAGATTCTACAAGAGCCACCTAACTTCCCTATGAAACCACGTCCAAGACATGAGGGCCCTGACCCGATCTAAAATCCAGTTCAGAAAGGAGACAAATGGCAACCCCCCAGAGAAGTTCTGTTAGTTATACTGGAAAGGCGATGTAAGAAAAACCAAGAGCTAGCTCGCCACTGGAGATCCAAGTGACTTACCTCTGTAGTTTGTGAATGCTCTGGAATGGCACCCACTGTAAGGCCCTGTCTGTAATCTCTGCAGAATGGGCTATCAGACCTCTCAGAGATCACCTAAAGAGGGAGAGAGAGACAGAGTGAGAGTGAGTGAGAGAGAGAGAGAGAGAGTGTGTGTGTGTGTGTGTGTGTGTGTGCTCGAGCGCTCGCGCATCCGCACCCACGCTTGCTCACTCACTATTTCTAAGAGGTTGGGAAACGTAGGTGCTGAGCTCCGGAGCAGAGGTCACACAGCAGAAGGTGGAGAAACCTAGGAGTGAGGAAGGAGGGCTGTGAAGCCACAGCGAACAAACCCCAGCGGCCTTTGGGGCAGTTCCGGAGCCAGGGTTTTACTCCTCACAGTGACCTGGTGCCCCAGAACTTCCCAAACATCTCAAAATTCCGGCTTCCTCTTTTGTTACAGAGACCAGTCTTTCTGGAGAATTTGTTTATCCCCGATAAGGTAAAAAAAGGTAAATAAAATGAGCATTACCCATTGCCCCCAGGGATTACTCCCTCCACCCACATAGATCTCGAAACAAAATAAACACTAACAATCCACAGTCCACAACATCCTACTCCCCAGATCAGGAGAGGGAGAACAGAGACCCTGGAAGCCCTGCCCTAATACCCCTGGAGCTTAAGTTAAGCCCTCCTCACAAAACTGGGCTGAGTCCAGAGGCTGGCTGAGAATTCATCCTTTAGTTCATGCACCAACACAGCCTCCAACTTTGTAAAAGGAAACAAATGAAAAGCTACACACTTAGACCAAATTCAGGGCCAACAGAATACATGAAGGATTCCTTCGACTCTCACTGGGCTGAGAGCTGCCTGGTGTCTCCCCTAAAGTAAGGTACCTCCCTACCTACTGGCCACCTTCTTTACTTTCTCATCACTCCCTCTGAAATGTTCTCTCTTCTCCCTCGATTATTCCTCGTAACCCTTTATCACTCCTGGTCCCAAAGAATGCTCTCTTGATCCTGTCCCTGTACCCCTCGCCCCCATCTCGCCCCAATCAAAAATGGTTACGGCTCCAAAGAACTATTTCACCTACGACGGAAGAAAAACGGGGAAGCTGCACTGTACGCTTCCCCAACATTTGGAAGTACTTTGCTATAGGAAGATGGGAGCTCAAACCAAGCACCAGAAATTCTTAGCAGTGTGACTCTGGGCAAGTCATTTAACCAGTCTGCCTGTTTCCAACTGTAAAAATGGAGATTATAATAGCACCCACCTCTCAAGGTTGTCGTGTGAGAATCAAATGAAATAATATTTGTAGAGTGCTTAGCAAAGAGCCAGGCACACAGCAGGTGAAGGTACACCTAGTAGGTGCTTAATTAATGATTGTTTCCTGTGTCCCCTCTCCCCTCGCTTAAATTGGGCTTCACTTATCTCCACACCTAGCCCTGACCTGAGTTTGCCTTTTTGACAATTCACTAGCTACCACTCTAAAAGCCCTCCTCTTTAGGACTTCTCCGCTAATTGCCAACCGTGGGAAATTCCCAATTACAAATTTCTCCTCCCCAGAGGCTGGTTCCACTGGTAAAAGTCACACAACTGGGCTGATTTTTATCCACTATAAATATAGAGCCCTCACTATTGCTTGACAATCTTTCTACTACAGATTTCTGGGTGATCTGTGAACTTGGGTGGGGGGAAAAAACCACACCTTCATATTCACTAACCTAAGTGAAATTTAGCATTTCCTTCAATTATAAATTTTTTTAAAAGTATGCTTTTGATTGGGGGTGGGGGTCCCCCAGGCTTCATCAGACATCCCTGGCACTAGGCTCTGAGTGACCCCCTGAAACATTCTCTGTGGCAACTGCGTTTTCCTCAAGCCTCCAAATGCATATGGAACCTGATTGCCCACTGTGTTCAGAGACCCCTTCCCTGCCCCGCCCTCAGGCCAAGGAAAGGATCTTGTCTTTGGACAGCTCAAAGTGCCAGACGGTTTTTCTCTAATCCAAACTCAAATGTGCCCCTTGCTAACTTCATACTTCTGCCTGCCCTCTACATCCTTGGCACCGCCTCCCCCCCCCCCCCCCAGGTTCCTCAGTGACAATCCTCTAGGAGCCAGGTGACTTCTCTGAAAAGCCTGGCTTAGAAGAACTCTCCTATTTACTTCCCATTTAGGGGGAAGAGGTGCCTTTACTTCTCCCAAAGGTGAATCCTTCTCTCACTGCCCTTGATTTTGTTCTTTGCTCAGACCTTTGGTTCCCTCCCCCAGGAATCTTCTGCCTCTCCCTTCCCATTGGCTCCCCAACCCTGCTGCTCTATTCTGAAAAGTCAAACTTCTGGAAAAGAATGGCTGTGGCTCACGCTTGGCACTTCCTCACCCACTACTCTCTCCTCAACCTCTAACAAACTACTGGCTTCAGACTGTATACTCCCGAAACTTGAGCTCTCCATCTATCTTTTAATCCTCATCATCTTCCTCAATCTCCTTACAACACATGACACTATAAATGCTGTAAGATGTTTTTGCCCGGGGAAAGAATTATTGCTTGAGAAATTAAACGCAAGCTAACCCCATCCCTCCATTTATTTGCTCTTCCCTGGGTTTTGAAGCCCGGGGCCTGCCACTCCTTCCCAGAGGCCTCCCTGGTTTCCTCTGCTCCCTTCCTACAATCTTCCCAACCCCGAGGTCCTCTCCTAAGCTGGCCTCTCCCCTTCTGAAACTCTCTATCCTTGGCACCTCAGTCACTCCTACAGTTTCAAGTATTACCTTGAGGGCCCGAGAAGAGCTGTGTTTGTTATTCTTTTTTTTTGGGGGGGGGGGGAAGGAAACCTGAAGGGCTGTCACCCCCAAAGAGGCATTAGATTTGTTCCCTGCAGCCCTGGTGAAAAACCAGAAGCAATGAGCAGAGATGGCAAAGAAGCAAAGTTTGGGTTTTATGTCAGGACTGTCTCCAGAGACAGCCCGGGCTTCTTCAGTCACTCAAGTCCACAAGCACAGGCCGGTGGCTGCTTGCAGTTTGGCTGAAGCGGGAGACTGTTTTCCAGGCAGAGTTTGGATTTGATGGAGGCTCTTCCAGCCCAGCAAGAGGCAGGCAACCTTCCCAAGTGGCTTCCCTGGGCCCCTCCCGTCCTAATCAAGACTGCTGAGATCTTGCCCTCTAACTGCCTAGAGGATATTAAGGCAGCCACATAGTGCGGCAGAGAGTGGCAGGCTTGAGTTCAAATCTTGTCTCAGACACTTACTCAGCTGTGTGACCACACGCAAATCAAGTGACCTGTCTTAGCCTCAGTTTCTTCATGTAAAACAAGGAAGCTGGACTCCATGGTCTTTAAGGTCCCCACGAATCTCTGCTCTCCATGTGGATCCAGCCCTCCTGGAACTTCAAACCCAACTTCCCTCAAATTGAACCTGCAGACTTTCTGATATCTCTGTGGCATCAACATTCACCAGGAAGTCATCCGACACCCTCCAGACCATTCAAGGGTCTTCACATCCTGGCACCATCCTATCATTTCAGCCTCCACGATGCTCCGGCCAAATGCAGTCCCTCAGCTTCCCTGGTTTCCTGCCTATGCTGCCACTGGCTCCTAAGCCCGGAAGGTTCTGCCTGCTGAATTCCTACAACGCCAATCCAAAAGCCACCTTCCCTGGAAGCCTTCTCGGACTGTAACAGCTCACACTCAGAGAGTACCCTGGGGTTTGCAAAGCTGTTTTCATACACTAGCTCAGTTGATCCTCACGACCCAGGAAGATGGGTGTGATTATTACTTCCCTTTTACAGGAGAGGAAATAAAATGAAGTTTAGAGAGATTAAGTGGCCTGCCAGGATCCCCGAGTTCTGGTTAATTTTAGGGAAACTTTCCCTCCCCTGGTCTCCTAGCACTATGGCTGTTTTCTAACGCATTTATCCACATTACGATGGATTTCGGGATCTCTGTCTAACGTCCCAACTAGACTTACCCATCATTATGTATTAGACACCTCCAGGCAGGGAGCAGGGTGGTAATAACAATGATGATGACGACGATGATGATAACAACTAGCATGTACACTGCACTTTCAGGTTTGCAAAGCCCAGTAAAAACAGTCCCTGCCTTCAAGCTTAAAATCTACAGAAGGAAAACCAGACAATACAAAATAGAGGGATGAGGATGGGCCCTCCTCTGACTTCTGGGGGATACAGCTCCAGGTCTAGAATCAGGAAAACTGGAATTCAAATGCTACCTCACATACTCACTAGATGGGTGACCCCGGGCAAGTCACTTCACTCTATCTGCCTCAGTTTCCTCATCCAAAAACTGAGCTGGAGAAGGAAATGGCAAACCATTCCAGTATCTTTGTAAGAAAAACCAACGGAACAAAACCAAAAAAAAAAAAGCCCAACAACACCCCCCAAAACAACCCAAGTGGGGTCAAGAAGAGTTGACATAACTGAAACAGCTGAACATCACACACACAACAGATGCACACAGACGTGTATATACACATATTCACACAAATGCACACAGATGTCGACACACTTACAAAACGTACGCACGAACCCATCGAGTGTGAGGTCAGGAGCAGCTGGGCGGACCCGCCTCGCTCCAGCGCCGGGACCGGGGGCCAGAGGTTCCTTCTCTGGGGTCCGACCCCGCCCCTCCCCACAGGGGGAAAGTGTGGATCCGAGAGGGTGAGTGAGCGGCCGCTGGGCACTCTTTTGTCCCCCATACCACCGGGCACGGGAAGTGGATTGACACTGGCCTCCTCCCCCGTCTGAATCCCCTCCCCCCTTATTTATAACCCGGTCGGCTGCCTGGGGGGGAGGGCCGCTGGGCACCAAACGCTGGGCACTCTTTTGTCCCCCATACCACCGGGCACGGGAAGTGGATTGACACTGGCCCCCCCCCCCCCGTCTGAATCCCCTCCCCCCTTATTTATAACCCGGTCGGCCGCCTGGGGGGGAGGGCCGCTGGGCACTCTTTTGTCCCCCATACCACCGGGCACGGGAAGTGGATTGACACTGGCGCCCCCCCCCCCGTCCGAATCCCCTCCCCCCTTATTTATAACCCGGTCGGCCCCCGGGGGGGAGGGCCAGAGGCCAAGAGCTCCCACTTCCGGGGCAGCCTCGGCCGGTGCACTGAGCCCCTCTGCTCCTCGTGGAGACCGAGGCCAGAAGGGCCGGGTTCGAATCCCACCGGGGCCACTAAGAAGCGTTCCTGTTCCATGGGGGGGCCGGGGCCCTTTCAGGTCGCGACAACAGGAACAATCGCGACAACGGGCGTTTCGGAAGCGCTGGTCGCGCGGCGCTTCCTGGGCCAGGGATGACCCCTCCCACTTCTCGGCCCAGGGAACTGAGGCAGACGGAGGGTCGGTCGCCCAGGCCGCGTGCCTCAGTTTCCTCCTCCGTTTTCCCGTCCAGCGGCAGCGCGGGGGCCTCCACTCGGCTCAGAGGCGGCCTCGCCGGCGGCCCCGGGCCGCGCAGCCCGCCCACACCGCCCCTCGGCCGCTCGGACTCACCTCCTCCCTCCCCAGGCCCGGACACGGCGAGCGAGCGAGCGAGCGAGCTCCGGCCGCGGCGACGACCACCAGCAGGGCGCCCGCCAGCCAAACACCGCGAGAGCCCCGGCGAGCGCGAGCGCGGGCGCGGGCGCGAGCGCGGGCGGCGAAGCCCCGCCCCGGGCCGCGCGCTCAGGTCAGCTCCGCCCCCCGCCCGCAGGCCGCCAATGAGAGCGAGAGAAGGGCCGCGGGCCGCTCCCCCGCCCCTCCGCGCCTGGCGCCGCTCCCCCATCGCCCCGCCCCCTCCAGCGCCTGCGCCTGCGCCGGCCGCAGCTCCGAGCCCCGCCCGCGCGCTGCCCTCCCTCCCTCCCTCCCTCCCTCCCTCTCTAAGCCGGTGGGAGCCGGGAAGCCCCCTCCCGCCCGCGCTCTAGGTCGTGTTCGTACGCGGTCGTTTTCTTCGTCCCCGCCCCAGCCTGCTAGCCCCGGGAGGGCGGGTGACTCCATCCCCGGGCTTAGCCCATCCCCAGCCCCCTCGCCCCGGGCGGGACGCCCCTTCCCCTTCCCCCGCCCTTCCGGGGCCGACCTTGGCCGTGACGTGGAAGGGCGGGGGGAGCCTGGAGGCTGTGGCCGCAGTGAAGGGCGGGGCCCGCGGGAGAGGGGCGACCCCGTGCTGGGCGCTAGGGTGGACACGGGGTGGGGGGGGGCCTCAGCAGGTCCTACGGGATGCCCCCCCCCCCCGGGCAGTACTCCCGGAGCGTTATTGACC